AAACTCTATTCCACTTTTTACTGAGTGTGAGCCTAACCTTGCTCTCTCCCAGCTGCCTGTCAGTCAGATATCACTCACAGATGTCCCTGAACAATCTTCTTTAATTAGAAAAGAAAAAGTAATCCTTTATATTTGTGTGTGGACTTAAGCGCTGACTTTTTGGACATTTTTTTCTTTTTTCTATTAAGGAGACTAGTAAACTTTAACTGTTAGGCAAGATTGTTTTTTAAACTTTATAATTAAGAATCATATCACCCTTTTCATGAAATGCTCTTTTCTTGTGGCAATACAAGCATTGTTTTATGGAAGATCATTGTATTTAATAGATTTATTAGCACACAGAAATATTTAAGTCACTTTTTCACAAGAAGGTTTAATGTAATTAAGGTTATGTCTTTGTTAAGATTTTTTTAATCTATAAAGAGTGTGCTTTGAATATAGGTATATAGGTATGAATATTCAGAATTCAGTATACATTAAGTTACTGCATTTAAACAAAAACAGATTCTTAGATACATTGATGATTTAATCTGATGCTATCTCCTACCCTAGAGAAAAGTATCAGGAATGGTAAATCCAGGTTGTTTCCATAATACCCTGAGGAAAGCTCCTGGCTATTCTTAGACACTTTCAGTCGTGCTAATATTGCAGTTGCTTTTTATTTGAAGAGTAAAAGCGAGACAGAGAAGTAGTCATTTTTCAAGTTTACAATTCCACACCAGTTACAAATCTTTCTTAGTTTTACCTGCTACTAACCTTCATATTTGTGCACACCTCTAACCATTTTAAAAGAACAGAAAGAAATCAGATTAAATTGGGTTACTTGCTCAGAGTCTTTAGCTAGAGTCATTTTAAGAGTGTTTGATTTTTAGCCAGCACATAAGAGATGAAGACAAGCTGTTTTGCATTGTTGTGTCTTATAAGATCCTCTTCATTATTCCCTCTTTCTACCCATGGTGCTTCAAGGAACTGATTTTTAGACTTTCACAGGGAGCAGAATGAGACCTGCCTTGCTCTTTTGTTATCCACAACAGCTCTAAATGTTACTCCACGCAAAAATTCCCCATGATCACCTCAGTGCCCAAGGACTTTGAATGTTCTGAACCCAAATATTCTTGCTGCTGTCTCTTCTGGATCAGTGTTGACCTCTGGGTCCTGTTGACAGCTGTCTGAACATGATACAGCAGTGTGCCCAGGTGACCAAGAAGGTCAATGGCATCCTGGCTTCTATCAAAAGTAGTGTGGCCAGCAGGATCATCCCCCTGTACTTGGCACTGGTGAGGCCACACCTTGAATCCTTGTTTAGTTCTGGGCCCCTCACTGCAAGAAAGACATGGAGGTGCTGGAGTGTGTCCAGAGAAGGGCAAGGAAGCTGGTGAAGAGTCTGGAGCACAAGTTTTTTGAGGAGTGGCCGAGGGAGCTGGGGTTGTTTAGCCTGGAGAAAAGGATGCTCAGGGGTGACCTTATCGTTGTTTACAACTACCTGAAAGGAGGTTGTAGCAAGGTGGGAGTCAGCCTCCCAGGAAACTAGCAACAGGAGGAGAGGACACAGCCTCAAGCTGCACCAGGTGAGGTTCAAGTTAGTGATCTGAAGGAATTTCTTCATTGGAATGGATTGCCCAGAGAGGTGGTAGAGCCACTGTCCTTGGAGGTGTTCAAGAAATGACTGGACATGGCACTTAGTGTTATAGTCTAGTTGACAAGGTTGGACTTGATGACCTTAGAGGTCTCTTCCAATGTAAATGAGTCTGTGATTCTTCCACCTCCATTGCTTTTCCTTAGTGTATGTTCAGATGCTGCAAAGCAAGCTTTTGTTGTTATATATGGCTAAGGCTAAGCTCTTAAACCTGGATTACCTACATGACCCAAGGTCAAATGTATTTCAGCTGGGTTACAAGATGTGGTTTGAACATTTCCATTCATTGTAAGGGTTTTCTAATTATAAGCACTTCCTTTGCTAATATTGCTTATAAAGTAATGGGCAATTCAGAAAAAGGAAGGAGTGTATATTCTGACCCAGAATATTCCAAGATCTTGTAAGTTCAAAAAATGTAATATGAGACAAAGAGGATTTCAACGGAAAAGGAAATTAATGATCAGGATGATAGTCCTGGCAGACAGTGAGGGGAAGTTGAAAAGATAGGACTAGGAGTGTTATTTAAGGGGAAATGACAGTTTTTGTGTTTTGTTCTAGACAGATTGATATTAAAATAATTATTATTGGGAGAAAAATATCTTTTGCAAAGAGCCTCAGAGTTGGAATAAACACTTCTTTCTGTGTCTGGCTTGAATAGAGGAAGTGAAAAGAAACATACAGTGGGTGTTAAAAGAAAAGGCATCTTCTTCTAGAAAGTGGCTAATAATGAAATTCTGCTATCTGTAACTCATGAATGCTACTTTGCTGGAGTGCAGCACAGGAAAATACACCTGTATATATACTATCTAATACATTAGACTTCACTCACAAGCATAGACACTAAATTTGTCCAATCTTATTATTCCTAGTTCTGCAGGTACTACAGTTTGAACTCTGAAATTGTGCTTCCCATGGCTACGTCAGTGAGACAGAATATAGCATTAAGTAGAGTAGCTTCCATGCTTCTTTTTCTTATTCCAAATAGCTACAGACACTTTGCAGTTAGATTACTTGTCCTTTTTTTCTGAAGACTAAGCAATTCAATTTTCATATATGAACAGCATGGAGAAAGGGAGAGGAAGGGAGGAAAACAGAATAAATTTTCAGGAGGGTCTATGGGAGTTCTCATGAATGCAACAGGTCATCACTACTGCTTGGATCACCACCAGAAATTTACATTTTTATTCCCATAAGGCATAAGGTATCTTGCAAGGAAGTGTAAGGTTTTCTTTGGGCATTTTAATGCTTTTACATCTTTCTTTCTGCATCATACATGCTTAGTTGTTTAAGGATCTAGAACAGAGAGCCTCAGAAGGAGAGGGGAAAGACATGCTGTTTATCTGACTTGCAGTCAGTTGGTAAAAGGTTTAGAACTGTTTCCATTATGAGTGGATGTGTGAGACAGAGACTGGCCCAACCTGCATCCATCTCCGTGAATTATCTTTGTGCAAAAAGAACCCAAGCCAAAAGAAAAGCCATTTGCACTGATGGATGCAATACAGAATCCTAAGACTCACAGAAGCATTTTAAAGACTGTAGTTGAAAGTGTAAAATACACAGTTTGGACAAGTAGTTCAGCTGTTAGGCAACACTGAAACATCTTTATGATGATCAAATACTTTGTAAGTATCCAGAAAATTCCCAGAAATCAGCGCTGGATAGTCCAGAGTTGTCATTACAGAGCACCAATCTGACTGCAACAGGTAGTCATGTAAGTGCACTTGGTTACTGTAGCGAAATAGCAACTTTGGTGCACTCTGACTTTCATTTTTATTCTGAAAACAGAGTGAAAACCAGATGAAACTGCTAAAGCTTTATCAGACTTGACATGGAATTGTTGGTATTTATATGGATTCCATTTAAAGTGAAAGGTCAGACCAGACATACTTGAAACTCGAATCTAAATCTGAAAATATTTGCCACCTGCAGCCTGGCTCAATTTTCTGGTTTGTGATGAGAAATTCAAACATTTTGTCATTAAATTCAATCCTAGATACTACACTGAAAGAAAGTCAGAGGTTTATATGTGGGTTTCTTTTGGTGGAAAGCCTGTATAAGTCAGCAAAGCATCATATATTCTTATCTTCTCAAGGTGACTAAAATAACTTTTTTATCCTTTGTCTTTGACCATAAGAATGAACTAATTAACTATTTTATGCCCGTTAGGGCAAAGCTGGAGATAGACTGACCCTTATTCTACTTTCTCCAGAGTAAGACAAATTAAGTGCACTGGGTTATATTTGCTCTAATAAGCCAAACACTCTCAGGACATATTCAAGCCATCCAAGAACAATACTAAGATAAATATGGTCATGTGAACTGTCTTGTTTCTCATGCCTTGGATTTTTAGCAGGAAAAATTGTTTTACTCTTGAGCAGATTTCTGTGAAACACACAGGAGCCTGGGCTTCCATCATGTAAACAGTCAGATAACAAACAGTAGTATTTTAATCTTTGGTACTAGATGCCCACTCAGTATCTCAAAGTTGAAGAAGCTCACACTTACAGCCCGAAAATCTGGCTCCTTCCAGAAGAAACAGAACCTGCTCTCTGAAGCCCTGGGAAGAAATACGATTGCATTGAAATCAGCGACAAACAGACTTGTGCATTGGTACCTACCAAAAAGGTTGCCAAGCCTTGGAAGAGGCTGTCCATGGAAGTGATTGAGTCACTATCCCTGGAAGTATTTAAAAGACATGTAGATGTGGTCCTTAGGGACATGGTTTGGTGGTGGACTTGGCAGTGCTGGATTGGACTCGATGATCTTGAAACTATTTTCCAACCTAAATGACTCTGTGATTCTATTCAATGGTTTGAACTACTGCTATAAATAGTAAACAAGTCCTTTCCATTTTTTTTAGGAGTGATTAATTTACCTGTATTGAGTAATGAAAGGGAAAAAACAGGAGGTGGAAGGCTAGGTGTGCATTCTCTTCCTCTTCTCTGGACTCATCATGCTCTCCCTTATCTTCTCTCTCCTTTTTATTTGTTGTTCTTATTACCTATCTTGCTTCTTTTTCATGCTTTCATTAATAAGTGATGTTTAAACTTCCCTGGCTAACCTACGCATTTTTTCCCCAGTCATTTCATTTTCTCCTGTCATTGTCCAAAGTTGTAAATTCAACTCCTGTTCTCTAATCTGTTCCTCTTCCTGTCATCACTTTATTTCAAGCCTGCTCTCTGCCCTTTCTCAGCATTTTTAAAATGCATAATTTTCTCCCCTCTTCTCTTCTTCTTTTAAAGCGTTGATACCATATTCACGCAGCAGGGGTGTTCAAAGTGGAGACAGGGATAGCAAGTCAGGAAGGAAGCTTTTGTACCCATAAAATGACAAAGCAGCAGGTATTTGTGAATGCATGTTGTACCTGAGTTCTCTCTTCATCCTGGGACCAGTATGGTAGAGAAGCACATTATGAAACACTGAACACACAGTCCATCAGCACTTTATGCTGTTGCTTGTAGCTGTGGGCCATTGCAGCCTATAATAAAGGAAAGATGGAGCTATGTCAGGCTAATTCTTAACACAATAGTAGTTTACTTTCAGACCTAATAAACCATAAATCATTTGCTTTGTGTCTTGCAGCCTAAAAAGTATCACTACCTTAAAAGTTGTGTTCTTTTCTAATGAGAAGAAAAGGAGGGGGCATAGCAAAAAGCCCAAGAAGGGGTATAAAGTGGAAATAGAACAATTAATAGAAGCAAAACTTTGACATAATTTCTCTTGCTGAAAGTATATTTAAGAAGGGAAATATATCACAATAATCAACAAGGTTTTTTGCCTTCAGCCTGTCTGAGGCCATGTGGTTTGGAGATCTGATCACTAGTCCGAAAAGGAAAGGCTGTTTGCAAGATTTCTGGGGTGTTTTTTCCTGGAAAAGGTGAGAGGACAAAAGCAGAAATCTGACATACACTTTTATGCCTTATAAGGAAAGTATTCATCCCTCTATCTGCCTGTCTCTCTCTGTCTCTCTCTTTCTACATGCATATATATAGAGATCCATATGTTTCAAGCTGTCACTAAGTTGATTTGGAGGCAGGTGTTTCTTTCATTTGCTGCTCTAAGGGTTAGGTTAAAACCACAAAATTTAATACATGGCTTGAACCAATTGAATTGGATTTGTTATTTGTTTTGCTCTTTCACATTCACTGTTCAGTATTTTCTGGAGTTTTGCATGGTATTTCCATCAGTTCTGACTATTTGGAGACAGAACAATGACAAAGCAGAAGATCTTGTGTTTCAAAATTCAAACGACATTTTGTAACAATCATGCTTGCTTAATACACCCCAAAACATTTTGTCTTATACAGCATCTGTGTAATTTTAAAACCATTTCTAAACTGATACTTTGGGTGAGCATGAGTAGCTGGCTCCTTGTTGTATAAATCAGTCATTATTTTCTTATTTGTGTTTGTGCTGTCTTCCAGTACTCTTGATTTCTTTAATAGTGTGAATTTTGGTTTTGTTTCTCTTTCAAAACACTGCTTCCATTCCATTGTCTTTTCAACAGGTTCATTGGGCAGTCCTTTGCCCATTTTCATTCTCTTAGGATTTTTTTTTCTTCTGTATAACTAAACCAATTTTCTGAATAAAATGACTATTAATAGAGATTATTTACATTAATTTTCACTTGTAATAGCATCGCTAGAGGGCAGTATTGATTAAATTAGGAGCACTCTAGTGCTCTGAAAACTTAACTGCAGAAAAGCCTCCAGTGTAAACATCATTGCATTTTTAATATCTGGTCCTGGCTTTATGTCCATTTTTCATCACAATCTATACATAAAAAGTAAAAGTAATCTTAATTGCCATGTGTATTAGACATTGCTATTTGTAACTTTAATGTGTGTAAAAGACCATTCTGTGACTTTTATGAAAAAGAATGTGCATGTAGCTTAGTAGAAAATAGATGGCATTGAAGTTACTGTAAATTATAATTTATATTCATAGCTTTAATATAAATAATTATTAAAGTACAATTTTTTAATAATAAAAATATAGCTTTGCTCCTGTTTTTTTTTTCTCAGGGATAATGCCGTGAAAAATAAATATCTTCAAATTCATTAACTGTCTCCTTGAAAAATATCAGTACAATGTATTTTAAAATAATGTACATCAAAGATAACCAGAATTATAGACTAAGACACTCACTCATTTGTTCTTATTGATTTACAGGTCTCCTGACAAATGCAGCAACACAGAATCCTCGTAGGAGTGGTTTAGGCTCTCTGTGAGCTACTTAACTTAGTCAAGTTTCACTGCTGTTGATCATCATCCGTTATATGTCATCAACTCAACTGTCTGTTTCTCTGTATCTCATGAGTGACAGCATAATTCCTCTACATTATGAGCTAAAGTTTGTTCTACCATTCTAAGGATCACTGGACTAAGGAATACAGAAAAAGAGATATGCTTGGGCATTAGCAATACAAACAAGTTCATGGTTAACGTTTCATCTGCGTTATACACCACTGCTGGACTTGCTGTTACCTACATGTTTCAATCCGAAGAGTCTGCTACAATGAAGAGTATCATCCCAATCAGCCTTAGAGAAGACTGTTTTGCCTATGGGAGGACACTGAGGTGCAAAAGAGAAACTCTTCTTGTGCCCTAAACTGTCTGAATTGCTTTTATTTTCTTATACTTTCAGTATATACAATAGACCAAAGAGCAAAATCTATTTTAAAGTGGACACAATCTTACTCTTAACAGAATTATGTCATTTAATTGAAGGAGGTCTCCACAAACATGATTCCAGCTTTCAAAAAGATGAAATGTTGTTGTCCAGCAGAAGTCTTTACGGAAAGCTGCAGTAAAAACTAACTCAGAGACCTGCTCTTGAAATGGCACGTTCAAGAGAACATTATGGAGCACTGAGAGAAAATGACCTATGTTTGAAAAACTTGGACAAAAGAACACAAACTGTCTACACGGCACCTTTATTCCTCTGTACTTAGATTGACTTTCTCGTACTAAAATCATTTTCAGTTTTAACCAGTTAAACATGCCTCTTCTACAGTTCCATTTTTGATAGTTAAAGTTGGATAATACAGTATTTGCAAAGAGCATGTTTGGTCATCTGTGGCCTATGTCTCATCTGATACACCATTTAGCACCAGAAAGCAAATTAAAGAGAAAACAAAAGTAACATTTGTTTGAAAGAGATCATTAAATGTATTTTGAAAAGCCTAAAGTTATATATTTAACAGTTTTTATATGTTGTATATTTGTAGAAAATCCTATTTAACAATTAACGTGATAACTCTGACAGTCATGACAAGTGGTTCAGAGTTAAGTTGTGTTTTATTACTTCAGTTGTCTCTGAAGTGACTGGTGTCGTTTGCTTTCTTCCATGGGGACATTCTGGATGTAAAGCATGACCAGAGAGGACTGTGTAGAAAAAGCAAAGAATAATGTTGTTTATATTACATAAATGCATTCAACCATTGCACTGTTGGAAGGCATTTTTATTTTTATTTTATTTTTATTTTTTGTCTTTATGTACTGATAAAAATAGAGTGTAAAATATTTTACTCATTGCTCTTCATAGCAAGGTTTGTTTTTCTTTCTTTCTTTCTCTTTCTCTCCCCTATTTTATGTAAGGGTCAGTTTGAAGCCTGTTCCTTGATCTCATTTTCAGTGTTTTACCTCATTGTTAGAAAGTCCACTTTTTCGGCATTATTGGTTAGTGAAAATTTAGCAAAGACAGCATAGACAAGGGAGAAATTTTGACAAAACAGAGAAACAAAACCTTGTTCCCTTTTACCTTACCTTTTGGCATATAGGTTTGGTACATATTGGTATGATGCAATCAACAAGGGAGCTTAATTTCTTCCTGGCAAATGTGTTATGGTTTCAAGTATACTACCTAATACTCAAATTAACTTTTAGTGTTATGCTCGTTCTGTTCTACTAAAGAAAAATATATAGAGATTATTCAAGTGACCATAGATGAGAGATACAAAAATGAAAAGTTGATAAAAGAATTTTTTTTAAAGCCTGCTCAAACGCTGAGGCTTATTTAATGCAGAGGTTGCAGGAAACATGACCTATATTGTATCAGTTTGTCTTCAAGTAAAATAAATATATACAAAATTCTTATTTAATCATAGGATTTTGACCAGTATCAAAGTAGCAATTAAAGCCCAGCCACTTGTAAAGTGTAATGGACTGACTGCACTATAAATGACCAATGTCAGGTTTAAAATGTCATGCAATAAATGATGGTAAATACATTTACTGTACATGTAGACCTCAAGAGCCAGATCCTTCACTCTACCAACTCTCTGTTTTGATTTATTTTAAAGGGAGCGTAGTAGCCTTATTTAGTAAACACAGAAAAATGAAAGATGTTACATCATTTTTGTTGCTTTACAGTATTCAGTTTTGTGTTGGTTCAGCTAAATTATGAAAAATAAAGAAAATCCTTTTCTAAGTGAGACTTGTTCCCTGAGCATGACGTCACCAAAGGAATTTCACCAGATGATAAGGTGGGAGCACAGAGAGGAAGATGGAATTGTAAATTGAGGACGTGGGTTGTGTTTTGAAGTTTTACCTTTCCATTTTCATGTCTTGGGTACCTTCATTTTGGTATGCTTAGTTACAGATCATATTAAGGTCATTTATTTTCTGGAAATCAGATCCTCTAGGAACTCGGGTATCTAAGAATGTACATTTGAAATCTTTACATCTAAAATCATACATTCCAATCAGTTTTGAATATGCAATCTTATGTCTTTGTTTTCTAAGCACTTTAAAAGCTCAACAAAAGGTAGATGTACGTTGTTTATAAGGTCCGCTCTGGAGAAGAACTATCAAAGGCAAAAGATTCTGATTATTCTTCAGAGATGCATTCTAGTTGCTGAGTCTCCTGTGTACAACAGGCACCTCAAGGCACTTAAAATGTGTTTTGTGCTTTTCTCTCCTCTCCCAAAATGTACAGTTTTAAACAAACAAAATATACTGGCTGCATTTGTCACTGTGAATTACTACTCTAAGAGCAGTGGTGAAATGTTTGTCTCTCAGGAACAATATGTTTTCAGAATATTGTGAACTTTAATTTTACAAAACTAAGTTACATAAAAAACTGTTTGTTTCTGAAAGTATTTTATGTGCCTCTTCCAAAGCAGAATTTAAAACACAGAGGGGAATGTCTTATTTGAATGCTATTAAATATCCTTCATTTCTCAGCTTGCAAACAAGTAACTTTTTCAAAACATACTTGAAAGGGAACAGAATAATACATAAAAACGCATAATAGACTAATAAAAACAACCTCCAGAAATGCAGTAAACCTTTAAAATTTTTTTGAAAAAAGCTTCTCTGTAGCTTTCTGTTAGCTGAGGCAAGGACACATTAAACTACTGCTTTTAATATCTGGGATATCAAATGGAGCAAACATTAGTACACTATAGCAATCATTGTGACACATCATTCACCAATTTCATAATTATGCTTTTAGTTTTTTTTTTCCCCTGAATTCATTTCTTCTCAGCAGTAGATCAGGTTTTATGCATGTGATATCCTCAATCATTCAGTTGTTTACTGAAATTGTACCCACGTGCTGTTGCATAAATCTTTAGCCTAGGCACTTACTATCTCCTATAGCCTATTCATCACAATCCTGAGTACTAATTAGAGTTTCCAGAAAAAAATAAAGAATTCAACACCGTGTCTGAAAAGCCTATATAGCTATGAGGAACAGTTGAACTAGAAGGTGGTCAATGATTGGTTGACAGGAAAATTGCAACAATGACTGCTTGGGTGAGTGGACTAGTGGAAAGAAAAAATGAACGAGCCAACACTGGATGTAGCACAGGAAGCCAAAAAACCTCCCCCAAAATTGGTATATTTATTCAAGGGCGGGGGGGAAACCAAACAGGACCAGCTTTTTCATCATATAAGCCTACATGTATGCAGTATCTTTTCCAATTAAAAAAATGCAGAAGAAGGCTTTTCCTTGTAAACATCTTTGTACAATTGATGTGGTTTGAAGCTGGCTCCCTGCCAAGTCTCCAAACCTTACGACAAGAAGCCCCCCCCCCAAACCTCAGGGAGAAGAGGGAGAAAAACAACCAAGAAAAACCGAAATGAGAGAGACAGCTAAAGCAATATATATATATAAATATATTTACACTTATGTTACAGTTATATACAATTGAAATATATATATACAATTTCACAAGGGAAAGGGAAGGGGGAAGGGAAAAGGAACAAAACCAAAATAGAATATATATATATCCCGATTAGTAGCCCAATATCTAGCAACTAAAATAGTTAGCAAAGAAATATCTCATTACTCTCCTTGGGACAACCGAGAGTCGCTCTGGAACGATCACCGGTAACCTCCGCCTCCCAAGGTCGACAAGGCCTTACCCGGCCTCGCTCCCCAACATGGCAGACTCAACAGCAGGGAACCTGCACCTCCAAGCTGCCGGAAGGAAAGAGACCCTCTCCTCCTTTCTTCTTATAGCCCGGCTTACGTAAAAATCGTAGGGAACACTGGGCACTTCCCTGGCTACAAACTGGTCACCAAGGAAGGCCTAGACCAAACTACCACAACAATGTATATCAGGAATCACATATACATGAGTAACAACCAAAGGCAGGAATGAGTTGACTATTTTTTCTTACTGACATTAAAGAATTGATCCCACATTGAAGCAATGAATCTCACACTGGGCTTAGAGCGCAAATAAGGATGGGCAGAAAGCACGATATTCTATATCATAGAGTGTAGATTTCAAACTGGGGCTTGAGTAAAGAAAGGAAGTCAAGAAAGAAACTGAAAAACCCCCACAACCAACACCAGAGAAAAATATTTTTTTTCATTTCAAAGTATTTACTGTTTAATAAGTGCTTTTTAGTATATTCAATACATGCTAGGGAAGTCAAAAGGAGTAAAATTTGAAACAAGGAATTAGGAAAGAAAATTTTTTAGAAAATATTTTAACTGCAGAGATGAGAGTTTTACAGATAATGTGGTTGTCTTCTTTAGAGATATAAATCCCATTAAAATCAGAGACCCATGGGTAATATATAAAAGGTAATTCCGTCACTGATTAAAAATAAACTAAAAAATGGAAACCAAATTAAAAAGTGGAAGTAAATGACAATAAGCCAGAAAAAACAGTGAAAAAGCCATTCTGTGGGAGGATCAACACAAGTTCTTGTACTACCTTTGACTATGAATGAAATATGAACACAGATTGCATGGTTTGTTAGTATCAGTAAATTACACAGATTAGTGAAGATATGGGAGGCCTATGAATATATGAGGATATTCAGAGACAAAATGGGTCACCAAATATTAACAGAAAATGGAAAACTGAAAACCAGGAATGTCAATTTATCATTTCTCACACCATCAATGTAATTCTGGCTTCAGTTATGTCAATTTTAGGACATATGTGAAAAAGGGGCTCTGGTCTTGAAATAGGTACTAATGCTGGTTTCAAGCTCCTCAGTGCCTAGGTCAAGTCACTGATTTCATGTGATAATCCTGTGTTAGCTATGCCTTTTTAGAGTTGCAGCAAGCCATTGGAGGTCCCTTAGGATACATATCTGTAGTCACAGAGCACAAGGTGCTCATGGCACCCATGTCCTCCACAGGTGGCTTGGACTGACTGTGACCACAATTTTCTAGGTTTGATATTGCCAATATGAGACTAGTGACAGTGATATCAGAACACTGTATGGTGCTGCACTGATACAAAATGATGTGTGCAAATGAAGAAAGTTCATTACCATATAATCAAAAAGCAACTTTTCTAAAAATATTGATAAATAGCAATCAAAGAACAGCTGCAGTAAAAAAAAAACTGAAACACACACACACACACACAAAAAACCACACCAAAAAAAAACCCAGCAAAACAAAGCACCATAAAGACTGTCAATGTAAGAAAAAAAATGTAATAAAGGAAAAAAGAAAAGTTCTACAAAGATCTTTCAGAACAACCAACGTTTAGAAATAGAAACTTCAAAGGTGTTTATGTTAGGAGTACAGGGTCTGACACAGTAGAAGGAACAATGCTAGCATGTGCAGAGAGCAGTTTACATCAACTAAGGAGCCCAAGCATTAACTCAAACAATTGTATAAAGCACCATGAGCAACTGTCTGTCTTCCTTCACTGCCTAGGGAGAAGCTGACATTGGTATACACCCAGGAGAGAGACAGGGGGTTTATATGGGTTCTCACACAGGTATAACAATACACGTCACCCACCTCAGGCAGAGACTGTAATGGCAGGAAATGCTGACATCTACTGCCATCCAGAATTACTTACTGAGTTGTGAAGGTGCCAATAAAAGGTTGGTGGTAGAAGCCTGAGCCAGTTGTTACTGTACAAACACATTGCATAAAACAGTTCACAGAGCCTCAGTGGCAGTAAAGAGGTCCTTCCCATCACGATGACTAAAGCAAATGCAAGGGACATATATTTCCTCCTCTATATGCAGACCATCTCCACATGGATAGATGAAAATAAATGTAGGCTACTTCTCTCCACACTGTCCAGTTACATCTACAGAAATGTATTTAGGCAACCTCCAGAGAAGAAATTCAACATAGACTACAATTTTATGACATAAAAGCCTAACTGATATGCTATTAGCAAACAATAAAAATATATTGAGGTTTGAAGAAAATTATGTTTAATTTACACAACTTACAATTTTTTACTCAGTGAAGCCATGTAGCCCTTGTTTTTCACCCCAGACAGATTTGTTTCTTCCCAGAATTTTTGAGAGAGCAAGTGACATTGTTAATGTAACTTCCAGCCCATGCAAAACAAATCAAATGAGGGTGAGTTCTGGAAAGGCAGGAAATCTAGCTGAATGATTTCACTGTGCACAGGAAACTAACACTCCCAAAAATGAGAAAAAAATTACTAATAATTGTAATGCCACTCAAGTTCCTTGTTATTTAATTTTTACTCACACTATTACAGTCATAGGAAAATCTGCAATAGAGTATACTCAATAGCACTCAGAATTTCATGAAATCACGTGTTTGTTTTATGGTAATAATTTTGAAAAGGTAATAGAGCATGTCAGGCTCACCTTCTCTTTCCCTCAATCCCCCCCAAAAAGACATAGTTCCATTTGCTCTACTAGGACAGAGAAATGGAGAGCATACAGACTGCACGTCACTGTGTTACAGGTACTTCTCACCACGTGAAGAGTCTGGAGACAGCAGGACAAGTGTGTGAGAGTTAAAAAATGTATTTGAAGGCCTGAAGACACAAGCTTTGCAGATGGCTTAATCAATTAACTGTCCAACCCATCAAGAGAAACCTAAAAATACAGGATATATGTATAGCATTTAAGGGCATTATTCTTATTTTAGAAATTATGTTATGTCTTATTTAGCTGATTTGTAGACAAAGAACAGTAACCCGAGGTGAATATAGAAGTGCCCAGTATCTCGTCAGGTAGTGGAAGGAAAGAGGAGAAAGACTGTTGGAATTCTGAAAGGAAGGACTTTTCTATTTTAAAAATAATATTTAAAAAATGTAGCAAGCACATAGGGTTGCCTCGGTTTAATTTAACAGGTATAATACTGGGATTGTTGTTCATGATGGTGTCTCCATAACTTCCTTAGGAAAAGCTTTTATACAGACATTTGATTACAGGAGCAAAACCACGTTCTCCCCATCAATTCCTCTCTGGAGGCAGGACTGGGATATTTGGAGATACCAGCTGCAAATGGTAAATATCTGTTCTCGGTATGTTAAAAAGCAATCAGCTCTTTTGGAAATTCATTGGTACAAAAGTGATGCCAAGTCTAACTCAGTTAAGTTAATATCACATAGTCCGAGGCCTTCAAGAATCTGAAATA